GATTTGAAACTGCATGTCTTTTAAATCTGTTTCTGTTGGAGGAGTTGTGGCAAATATTAAATTGTATAATTTAGTTAGATATCTTGGCCTTGGCCTGAGTCGATAAACCATGAAGGTTTTTTCCCCTATAATCAAGAAAACTGAAGTAATCTATAGATTTATATAATTATTTGTGTACATACGCATGTAGCATGTTCATATGTTGGTGGAGGTATATGTATGTATATCATGCGTATGCATACATAGTTTTAAAACAAAAGCTCGTAGAAGTAAATCCCATTCACTTATGAATTCTGCTTCCCTCCTTTATGTATATATTTATAATGCAGTAGCACACTCCTGTGATCCCAGCTGCTCAGTAGCTGTAGGTAGGAGGATTCCAGTCCAAGGTCAGCCTGGGCAAAAAAGTGTGAGACGCTATCTGAAAAGATAGCTAAAAGCAAAAAGGGAGGGGCTGAGGATAGGGCTCAAGTGCTAGGCACATGACCTCAAGTTAAAAATCCCCTGTACTGCCAAAAAAAAGTAGAAGAGAGTGGGGAAGGAGATGATCTGCATATAAAATGTAACCATTATTCCCCATGACAGATTCACAAGGAGAACTAGAATTTGAACATAACTTGACCTAAGATCAAATGTAAGTTACATATTCCCATTTCTGTGCACTGGCTATGATTTACCAGATATGAAGAAGGCGCAGGCTGCCTGGCCCATGTTCTTGCCTTGTTCTTGTGTAGTTCGTCAGACCACGATGAACTCAGAGCAGGGCCTTGGGTGGCCTAATCACAGAACAACCTGAGTCTCCGTAGTGAGGGTCTGGACAGTGAGATGATCTTTCAGTCAGGACTTAGAAATACCATGACCAAGAGGGACTACTTCACAGCAGGAACAGAATGTACCAGATGACCTGTATGAAGGAAGAATCTCAGCTGTAGGTGGAGAGGTAGAAAACTAAAGCAGTCTCTAGCTCCATATAATTATTGGTCTATATATGCACGGACCATATTCATATATAGGTGAATGTATATGTACATATAGCACACATAGACATGGTTTAAAAGGGAAGCTCTTGGATGGAGACTCCATGGACTCACGAATTCTGCTTCCCTTCTGCCCAAGAGAAGCAGGAGTGTCCCCGAGGCATGAGTCACCATAGGTCCTCAGAGACCTCTGGGTCCAAAATCTATTTACAGAGGCTGTTGTGATGGAGGGTCTTCTTCCACACAAGTCTACCTTTCTCTCTTTCTGTTAAAACCAGCATGCTGAAGTGGTCAGAAATAATACAAAGGATGGTTATAACTGAACTGGGTCGTGTCAGATGTATTCCTCATTCTGCCCTCCTCGCTTGCTGCCATGGGCCTGGACCAGCCTAGCAAATGTCCACTGGGTTAAAAATGCTCTTTCTGATGACTCAGTAGTTACCACCAAAATGTATAAAGTTTTGCTTTCAGCACATTGATATCTGAGAGTACATCATAGATGACTATAAGAGGATTCTTAGATTCAAAAAAATTACACTCAATATTAATGGAATTAGTTTTTCATAGCTGGCTTTCATCTTTATGATGATCTACTGTTAAAGTTTATCAGAACAGGGCTTTACTAAGAGATTAATTTTTCTAAGGACATATATCCCGTGTACAGAATTGGTATATATGTTGAAAGATGGAGCTTATTCCTAGTTGAATTAGTATATATTTATTATGCCCTGTGTGTATGTGATACATAGATATATAGCCTATATAACCTATATATAAGTAGTCAATACTTCCATATATAGAGAATGTACATATACATATATGTGTATGTATACATGTGTGAATATACATATCTATATGAAAGTACTAGCTCCTATTTCTGAATTATCTTTATGGTGGATTTGTGCTGACCATCAGTGGCCATTCTGTCTTATTTTCTATGTGAACAGAGGTAATGTTTGCAAAAGAAAGGTGTATAGGGTTATAACATGTTATCTATAGGACAGGAGACAAGCAAGGAAATGCATGGGTCCTAGAGAAGCAAGATCTATAGAACCATCTCGTCATATAGACATGCTCATTTCATGTGACCCAAAATACATAGCTATAAGGAAGACTAAAAAACGAAGGACTACTTTACCTCTACCTTCCTGTATGAAAAGAGCTGACTGATATTTTTCTAGGTGATCTATAGAAAATAGACAACTTTAGGTAGCATAAGCTTAAAAATCTAAAGAAAAATGTACTTAGAACAACTTTATTCTCAAATATTTTTATAAAGCTTAAGATTTTGCTGTCATTACATAGGAAACGTTTTACGATAAAATGGATGTGAACAAAAGAGGCATATTGAGCACAAAGATGACAAAAGTGAAAGTAGCTTGAGTTTTGAGAGCTCTTAATGTTCACATAAAACTATTTGTTTTATGTATTATGCAAGGATAGTTAGTTAACTATCTAACTAGTGAGGCACTAGTTTCGCATATATTAGTGGTACTCTAAGTGGTTAAACTTGAGACTTACTCCCTATAACTTTTGATATTATTTTCTTTATTTGCCTCTAAGCTCCTTATGACTACATAGCATAGCTAGCAAATAAACCTTTACTACCAGAGCTGCACATTGCTGTCTCTCTACTGTACTCCCACACCCAGAGCCTTGACTTTCATTATCAGCTAAGGCAAACAGAATTGAAAGGCAGTCATATGGGTTCCTTTGTTTCCTCCTGTGAAAACTCATCTAGATGTGACATTGAGGAGAGCGGGAAATTCAAGATCAGTAACTGAATGCTTAGATGAAAAACAACTACAAATGCCTACAAAGAAGGCTTAAGAGCCTTCATAGAATGATTCTGAAATGGAAGGAGCTTAAGTCTCCATTAAGCCCCAAACTATAGTCACCGAAAGTGGTTCTGACTTAAAATCTTCCTTTATGGATATTCAAGAAGTCAAATCCATTAGGAATACTAGAAAGTACAAACCAGTACTAGGGTAGTTATTTTAAGTTCACATTGCCTGGCAAACGTAAAGAACTATCATTGGATAAATGCTGAGATCTTAGACTTGAAAGGGAAATTGTTGATTGACTCTGTCTTTCTAAATGCACAGATCTAAGCATGACAGATCATAAACTGGATGGAAAGTGTCTACACTCTGTTGTTCCAAAGAAAAATAAAAATGTCAGAAAAAATAAATAAAAATATCAAGTGGATAGAGTGGGTTAGACATGGCTGAAGGAACAGAGTGGGCATGGTATAGCCGTAAGAGAACAAGCCTGAGTTACAGAGGAAAGAAAAGGGTCATGGAAACAAAGTTAAACACATGGAAGAGGCTTGAACTCCATGGAGGCCCACAGTGGAATTCAGGATCAGCCAGTGGGATCTACCCAGAGCCTCTACATTTGGAGTAGGCACACAGGAAGCATAAGTAGCAACCACCAAGTTCATATTGTGACAAAAATAGCCAGTTACAGACAGAACTGGACTCCACAAAATCTGCCAGTTAAAACATTCCTTTATACTTCCAGTGCTTACAAACCTTGAGATTCTTTCCTGTTCTTGCTTTGTGTTGAATCTGAACATCGTTGTGTTTTGCTCTTTCTCACCGCTCTGACAATCATTTCGTGTTTTGCTCTTTCTCACCGCTCTGACAATCATTTCCTCTCCTATTGTTTGGAAGCCATTAGTTTTTAAAGGTGATGCTTATTTCCTTCTTCAGGTAGCATTCTTTAGTCCTGGGAATTCGATTGTTGTTGGTTCGGTATCTTACTGTTGTTGAAGTTTTTGGACATACTCATTTGAAATATCGTAATAGCAAAAGAGTAGAGACTCTGCTTTGTGGATCTGTATTTTTGGATTACAAAAGCAAGCCATGATTCATAATAGTATAACAGTATAAATTCATGAGTAATTTTTTTTTTACTTTTAGATCCACTGACTTGTATAAATAAATACATTAGCAATAGGCTAAGAAAGTAACTCCTTGGAAAAATAAGACCTAGATGAGCTCCTTGTGCTCATCTTAGTTTACAAATGCTTAATGGTTTTGCTTGAAGGCATATGCTATAAAGTCAGCAACTGGTGTCTCAGTGCCACAAATTCAATGTCTCTGCACCCCAGAGTAGGTGGTGGTAGTTAATAAAAAGCTCAGCAGTATTTTTTTTTCAAATCAAGTAATCATGCTGTACTCTATAATTTTATTCTTGGACGCATAAAGAGTGTTTACAATATGGTGCCTTTCTAGGATTAGAGTAGTGGGGGGGGGGGGGGAGGAGATGGAAAAATGTCCAAGCATCCTTGCATGGCAATGATGGCATTACTGGTGTGTTTAATAAAACCTTTATTGGTACATTTTCCGGTGTGGTGGCATTGGCAGAAATGGTCCCCCTTTGGATTTAGAACTCAGCAGCTGATGAAATACAGTAAACATTAATTTGGAATGGGCTGCCAGTTTTGGAAAGCCAGGTGACATTTTATTATATTTGTACCGAGCAGGGGCTATGTCCCATACTGCTGTAGCTTCCGCTGTCAGAGGCTTAGCTGGCATTATGGAAAAAAAAAAATGGCAGGCCTGAGAATCTTATCCCCTGAAATGAAAGTCGAATGCCAAATTGAAATTCCTGTAGGATTTCCGATAGCAATGGGGGAATTGAGAAGCCCACAATTAAGCATATGGGCATTAAGATAATTGTCAGATCTGTTGGCGGACATGATGGAAGACAGATGGGTACGAATCAGTGCGCTCCACTGCAGCACCCTGGGAGACAATTTGACGTTTTACCTGCCTGAGCTACTCTGCCATATTTGTCACTGGATGTACAGCACGGCATCTTACTGAGTGTGAAGTGTTTTCTTTTTTTTTTCCGGAGAACTATAGGTACATGTGCGGTCCTCCAGCGCCCTCTAGTGAGATGCATCCAGGGAGGATGGCTTTTCAGGCCAGCCTTCCTGCATCTGAGCTGTCCCTGGAAATGAAGCTGTGGCCTCTGCCAGTTCCCACTCAGCACTGGTTCCTCTTACCCTTTCAGGTTGGGGCCCATCGCGAAGATGGCGTAGCCCTGAGAGGCAGCCATTCTCTTCTGCCAAACCAGGTTCCGGTTCCACAGCTTCCTGTCCAGTCTGCAACTTCCCCTGACTTGAACCCACCCCAGGATCCCTACAGAGGTAAGTCTGCATCCGAAGGGCACTTCTGACCTCCAGTAATCAGTAGACTTAGTGTTGATGCTGAACATACTTGGAGGCCAGCCTGAATTCAGGAAGCACTTGTTACAAACCAAGAAGTAAATGTGGTCCAAAAATGGTGCAGCAGCTTGGGCAAGGGCTAGAACTAGCCTGCTAATCAGGTTTCCTCAGTGGCTGTTTTCCTCAGACATCCTCTGAAATCTCACTCCCATCTCAGTGGGCAATGAGACAACAGATTGATGAGAGGAAATTTTATTTTAGCTATTTCCACATGTTGCTCATTCAGGTCCCTCTAATATGGTTAGTTGGGCCCTGAAATGATCTTTCCAAATGAATAGGAAGGAAGGAAATTGGTTTTGTTGTTTAAGATGGAAGGAAATGTAGGTACATTTTAAAAATGGAACTTGGTTGGGTGGCTTTTGTTCTGGAGCCATCTAGCCCTGTATAATGCCTTCCTCCTTCCCCCTCCTGACTTCAAGGTCTTTTCTTGTCCCCAGAGAGTTGTGCTACAAGTAGGGGACCTGGATCCTGAATCTAGGCCTCCTGTGCTACTCATTGGCCAGCTGGATGGCACTCACTTGAATACCATCTTCTGGCTCCCCTCATATTTAACATGAACAGATATCACTAGCTTAGGAATACACATGACCCTTCTTTTCCCTTGCCTACCATTTTATACTTGAGAGTATTCAATATACATCTGAGTAGGGTGGTTCCTGTTTATCTGAGCAGTTCATCAGCATGTATACTTTTAAAGCACCATTGCTTTTGCTCTGTCTTACTACATGTACTTCCCACATTGTAGCATTTACACATGTGACTCAGACTCTGCTGTAGCAGCAGTGCGATTCATCACCTCTCGTGGCTCCCAGGTGGTAGGGTTGCTCCTTGGCCCATGATCCAAAGTTTTAGAGATAATGTTCCAGAATACACAGATGAAAGTAAGAAGGGAATGCTTGATAGGCATGTATCCACCTGAGAAACAAATTATGTTAAGGTCATGTTTCAAAATGTAGTGTGATCCTAAGAAGTTTAGCAATGATAAAGCTAGAAATTTCTTCTGCGAGCAGCAAGCTGCCTTCTATATATACCATTTTTAAATGCTGATTACTCTTTGAGGATAAGAGAAGCCTAATTTCAGAATATCATTAGGGTATCTATTGAAGTCTTGACTACACATATTTAGCGTACTCTCTGGGAATTATATTTTAAGGACATTTTTCTATTAAATCATTGCATATGGAAGAAACTCAATATAATAGCTGATATTTACTTGGGTTCTTAATCAGAACATTGAGGTGTGTGATTTTCATGATTATGATTTTCATTGCAATTAAGTTGATGTTTTGTAGACAGTGAAATTACCATCTACTCCAAAAGATTGCAAAATAGAATTTAACCTCAGAGCCAATGCAGGGAAAATCTTGTTTCCGCAGGTGCGTTTTGGAAACTTCACCAGCTAGCAGGAAAAGTGACAGAAGGATCAGAGTTCAGCCGTGTGGATTGTCTGGCAGGCAGCCTTACAGTCTGTGTTGTGTTGGGGCAGCGAGTTGGTAGCGTCACCTGGTTTGTTTTTCTGTAGGCATGCCACCAGGACTGCAGGGGCAGAGTGTCTCCTCAGGCAGCTCCGAGATCAAGTCTGACGATGAGGGCGACGAGAACCTGCAGGACGCCAAATCTTCCGAGGACAAGAAATTAGATGACGACAAGAAGGATATCAAATCAATTACTAGGTCAAGATCTAGGTAACAGTATATAATACTGTCGCTTCATTTAATTCCTTTATTGGACTTTGATGAAGTGAACAGAACAGGAAGAAACTACTCAGTTTTTTCCTGGCAGGTAAATAAATCCACAGATGAAAAGACATCTCAAGGCCTATTTTAGAAGTACTCAAAAGTATCATTTACGATACCTGTACTCTAGTTAGGCCTACCATGTCTTGGCATTGATCAATTTGGACCCAGTGCAAATCACACACACTGAAATTGATTTGTAACTGATCGCAAGTACAGTGGTTTATTTTAAAAAATGATCCTTAATTGTATAAATTTGGTCAGAAAAGTTCTCTAAATTCTTTCCAAAAAAAGATTTAGCCATGTTAAAATGTCAGTTGACATCATATATATGCAATTGCAATTTTTTCTTACCTCTAAAATAAGAAAATCATGGGTTTTTTTCCCCAATTTTATTCTAAATGTGTTGATGTCTATACGAGTAACACCTAACTTGCTGATTTTTTTTCCTCCTCACTAATATTCGTTTCTACAGAAAATATAGCTGCAGGAGAATAGTTTCTGGTTGATGTTTTTAAGTATCTGATGTCTTCAAATTAGATCTGCGTCTTTGTACTTGAGCCTGGTAAATCAGATGGCTTTTGAATACCGGGACATCCATGTACTTTGTAATGTCTTTGGTTTGTTGGCAAGTCCCTTTGCAAGTTAAACCAGTTGTACTAGATGACAGCTTCTTCTTTTAAAGGCTGTGGTTGTCAAGGTCACCACTAATGTTATTGGTGAATTAAGTTCACGCTGCCTTCTCATACTGTCTTTATAACTATTCTCTTATGTGTCTTGCCACAAGTTCCAGAAATGGTAAATGCTTCTAGCTTCCCCCTTCTTTACCTTCTTTACCAGCAGTTCCTTCCTTCCTTCTAGGCCATATTGGCAAGAAATCCTGGGTTAGGGATTTCTCCTCATTAACAGCTTCTTTTTAGCCCTGTCAATTCTTGGTAATTTAATCAGTGGTCATATTTACACATAGAATAGGATCTTTGAAATTGGCCATTTTAACTTGCTGCTGACAACCTTAACACCATTCTTGTGACATTAACTCATACATCTTTCCAAGACTGTATTGTTCAGCATTTTTTTTCAATCTAATGTATTTGCATGACCAATTTATTTGTAAGTGAGTAAGTAATTCTAAGTAGCTGTTAGCCTGAAAGCCACTGGAAGACAAGTTCCCATGTTGAGGTACGGCACACGTCTACTGAATAAAAATATTGCCTGAATTTTTAGCTCCAGTATGGGAATCACTCCTGTTCACTCTTGCTTATTATAGCTGACTTCAGAGTGAGATACAGGAGTGAGGCCAGAGCAGCCTGGATTTTGTTGGTACCATGAGAGGTCATAGGTGAAGGGAGAGGAAGGACAAGGAAGGAAGATTAAGAAGTACAGAAAAGAGGGTTGCTCAATGGGGTCCCAAGCTATGTGTTCATCCTCTTACTCCTGCACAGACTGTGTGATTTTGAAAGGAGTCTAGTTTATGGGAGAGAAGTATCACTTTCAGCATCTTCCTCCTCCCCTTTAGCTTTCCCTCCTCCCTTGATGTATGATATATTTGGTTGACATCCATATCTTGCCATGTGCTACGTGTATTTACAACAGAAGAATACCAATTCTTTTATGGGTTGATTAGATCTTCCCCACCATACTGCTGCCTTCTGCAGGTTGGAGTCTTATTGAGAATTTTTCAAAGTAGAGCTATGACTTGTCAAGCTGGTTTACATTAAGTGTACATTGAATTTGCTAGATTAACACCATCATCTTCCCATTCGGAAATGTTGTAACGAATGATCACAATTAAAAACTGAGACTTCTGTCATTTTAAAGCAGTATCTAACCTTCATGGTTCCTGAGCCCGTTGCAGCCATCCCTAAGCTGACAGCCTTATAAATAGTCACTGACATGTTCGTTCTTGCCACAAGAGTCTCTGCTTTTTGGTGATGTTGACTTTAGTTTTCCTGCCTCTAGTTTTTCTGCCTCTCATGAGAGTTCATTTACTCATGAGAGTTCACATAGGTCATCTGGAGTTCTTAGTTTTGTTCTGTGTTCTTGAGACAAAACATCCCCTTCCCTCTTTTCTACATGATAGCCCCTGAAATATTTGAAACCTACTGCCATAAGAGGGTCCTAGTGTGATAGGCTTTCAAAGTGTTCATCGTCCTAGCTCCCTTCCATAAAAGGAGTAATTGGACATTGTGACACCCAGATGTGGTCAGAACTGATCTTATCTATGCGGGGGAGGGGGGAGGAAACCTGCCTTTCAGATGAATCATCGGATATTTTGGTTTTACAGAGAATCCTGTTTGGCTTCATTTTTGACTCACAGTGAAGTCATGGTCATTTATAAGGACAGGTGTTTAGATTTTGTATTGTTCTATATTGCTGATGTCAGTTTGGGTTTCCCCAACTTATTTTGGAGACTATAAACATTCATAAAATTAGATGCAATAAGAAAGGCCTGTTTTCCCCAATTTTCATTCATTCATATGTGTGTGTATGTATGTATATTACATGGAAAAATTGGGACATACAGACACACACATATACATACACACACACTGTATCTCTGTCTCTGTCTGTCTGTCTGTCTGTCTCTCTCTCTCTCTCTCTCACACACACACACACACACACACACACACACACACACACACACACACACTTATTCCACCTAGGATCGAGATGGAACACATAATGCTCCTCGGCAATTCCAGAAGAAAAACAAAGTAATTTTGATGACTTACTTTTCCCCACACTGTTAGAAAATGTCCCATCCCTTGTTATCCTGCAGCAATAACGATGACGAGGACCTGACCCCGGAACAGAAGGCAGAACGAGAGAAGGAGCGGAGGATGGCCAACAATGCTCGTGAGCGCCTGCGGGTCCGGGACATCAACGAGGCTTTCAAGGAGCTTGGCCGCATGGTACAGCTGCACCTCAAGAGTGACAAGCCTCAGACCAAGCTTCTAATCCTCCACCAGGCTGTGGCGGTCATCCTCAGCCTGGAGCAGCAAGTCCGAGGTCAGTGGGCTGAAATAGCAGCACAGACGCTTTTTAATGAGATTCATTTCGTTTACAAATCTATTTAGGTTTTTTTATTTTAAAATCAACATATAGTAATTGTACAAACTCTTAAAACTCCCTCAGAATAACTATTCAAATATAGACTATGTCTAATTCCAGAAAGTGGTATTCTTGTCTCCCATAATTATATAGAAATACATAACATAATTAGCACAATGAAACCTTTAAGAAACTTGTAAAAAGGAGAAAAGAGGAGAGGAAAGGGGTAAGAAACAGTACTATTGATGGAGTGGATTTTGTGCATGCTGTAAATATCACAGTAACAACCCTTTGTACAATTAAGTGATGCTAACAAGAGTTTTAGAAGTTACAAGATCCTCTTACAACTAAGTGTCACCTACCATTCCCACTGTACTGTCAGTCAGAGCTTCTCCATGCTGGAATGAGGTGGCACAAATTCCATGCACCTTCACCTTTGTGAGTGATTAACCACATGTATGAACACTGAGCACTTTCCCAAGTGTTCCTTTTACCATGTCACATGAAAACTGAACCTGAAGGTAGGATCCATGTCCAGGAATGTATCCTTGCCCTCTGAAGAGCCTCGGTATTGACTAAACGGCCTATATTCCCGTTCTCCACAGAAAGGAATCTGAACCCGAAAGCTGCATGTCTGAAAAGAAGGGAGGAAGAGAAGGTGTCCTCGGAGCCTCCCCCTCTTTCCTTAGCTGGCCCGCACCCTGGAATGGGAGATGCATCGAATCACATGGGGCAGATGTGAAAGGGCAAGTTTCATGCCATTCTTCTCCACTTAATAATCTCATGCACAAGTTTTCCATCGTTCATCTGCATTCATAACTCCCACATGCACGTCTGCTGCCATTCCTCTCCAATCATAACCCTCACCTGCCTGTAAGCCATCAAGCCAGCTATACCCAAATTCACAATAGTTTTCTCGCTTTCTTAGAAGTTTAAAAAAAAAAGAGAGAACACTTTCTCTTCACTAAATGTATTAATTAATTTTCCTCTTTTCCCCCCCTTTCTCAGGTCCAAGTTGCAACATTGCTTCATTAAATCAAGAGACCACTTCCTTAACAGGTGTATTATCTTAAACCCACATAAACACTTCTCCTTAACCCCCTTTTTTTTGTAATATAAGACAAGTCTGAGTAGTTACGAATCGCAGACGCAAGAGGTTTCAGCATTCCCAATTATCAAAAAACAGAAAAAAAAAGAAAGAAAAAGTGCAACTGGAGGGACGACTTTCTTTAACATATCACTCAGAATGTGCAAAGCAGGATGTACAGGCTGAGACGCAGCCCAGAGACTGAGTGGCAATCTTTCCACACTGTGGAACAATGCATTTGTGCCTAAACTTCTTTTGGAGAAAAAAAAAATATAATTAATTTGTAAGTCTGAAAAAAAATATTTAATTTAAAAAAATTGTAAACTTGCAATAATGAAAAAAAGTGTACTTCTGAAGAAAACTCCATGAACGTTTTTGTTGGTATTCAAGTCAGCTAGTGTTTATAATTCCTGGATACTGAAATAAAAGGGGAACTCAGCTACCCTAGCTACAAAACCAGCAAACGTCCTGAGAACAAAATGATGACCTTAGCCATTCCTTAGGGTAGGAGGAACAGATGGATCTTATAGACCTATGACAAATATATATATAAATATATATATAAATATATATTAAAAATTTAGTGACTATGGTAAGCTTTTGTTCATTTGTTTCAGACTTTTTTCCTCCTGTAAAAAAATAGTACTGATTAACTTTTTTAAAAGAAAGAATTTTACTGTAAATATGGAATTTTTTTTCTTTTCTCTTTCTTTTTTGGTGGGGGAGGGGGTCTTATTTCTGTCCCTATTTCCTGGTTTGTTATCGTAACCTGCAGTGCCAATTCTGCTTCCGGAGCGGTAATGCAGGAAGACTTGCAGACGCTGATGTTGATTCTCATTCATAAATAAGTAGAAAGTTGTTTCTCCAGTCTTTTTGGGAACACAGGACTTAAAAGTCACATCATGTGTAGATAATGCAAGCAGCATCACCAAGACCTGGCGAAAAAAAAAGAGAGAGAGAGAGAGTTTGTCTGGCTTGGGCTGCTGCTCTTGTGACCCTATTCTGGGATTTTTCCAAGGTACAAGGTTAGAATGCTACAATGTTACCACTGTGCCTTCCAATGTTTATATCATCGGAAACATAACATAATCAAAGTGGCTGTGATTTAACAAAAAAAAAAAAGATTAAAGTGTTACCTACCTGTGTAGCTGAAGTAGTGTGCAGTGAGGCGTTTCTGAATACATGGTCAGATTTTTGGAAAAAAAAAAACAAAAAAACAAAAAATAAAAAACAAACAAAAATATTAAAAAAAATAAAATTCCCAACCCGTCAATGAGAAAATTGCAAGTAGTATGACAGAGCTGATTGATTTTGTTGCTTTCTTGACTTTTTTTTTCAAAATGAGTTATTACTATAATGTAGGTGACTTACCTGCCTCCTCCTTGGTCTGAAAAATGACAATATTCAACCCTCATGCAGCATATGACCAGCCTTATTAAGTCCTAAAGCATTAAGTTGCACCTTTTTTTTTTTTTTGAGGAGAGGTAGTGTAGTATTTCTCTGGCCAGTATGAATGAAGTTTATACTTATCATATCTGATAGGAACATAGATCAAGCTATGGCACAGCGACTCATCAGATAGCTAGCTTTGATGTCTGGGCACAATTTCCACCGTAAATCTTTATAATGATTGACTTTGGTGTATAATGCAGTAAGCAGATAGTGCTCCTAGTTAAGTATTTGTCAGCATCCTTTTGTCTATAACTTGTTTCTATTTTTACAGCCACACAATCTTGGCATGTATTAAGGAAAAAAAATCCCTGTTCAAGTAGTTTTTCCACCTATCAGCACTGAGTAAATGCCATAACATCGAAATGGTCTAAGCGGTCCATCTGTTCTCCTGTTTTACCAGTTATATAGTAATGAAATACATTTGTAAATTTTATGCAACAAAACGGCGAACGTATCATTATTTTGAAATCGTGTATGTAAAAGTTATATTTTTACATGTAGACTCTTGTTATTATGTGTTTTAATACATTGTATCAGTTTTTGTTTTTCTAAACTGTGTGGTTTTTAAAAAAAAACAAATGAAGTCTCATTTAAATGAAATAGTGAGCTACAAGAATCTGAATTTTATGTTCATTTCTGAAAAAAAAAACAATGTAAGAACAAATAAGATAGTTACCACGTGGTCATCTTTTACAAACCCAGAAACATTGTGTGTCTGTGTGTGTGTGTGCGTGTGCGTGTGCCCGTGTGTGCGTGCGCACATGTTGAAAACTGTAAATATGTTCAGTAGTGATAAAATTAAATGCTTTGATTTGTTGATAAGTTCCTAAAATGTGGAGGTGGATTGAAACTGTAGGGGAATAGCAGAAATTCAAACTTCACGAAAAGTGATATGAGGCTTTCCTGTGAAGTATATAAACAAAAGAGTCTCAAAGAAGAACGTAGAAGACAATAATGTGTCTCTCCCCTCCTCCCTGAATAATGGAAACCATGTGTACTTGTTCCCTTGGTATGTTAAAGATTTCCTTGTAGTAGCATATTCTACATTCTTTTTTGTATAGTCTACCAAGGCGGGTATCCCTAGGAACAATGTTATATAGGAAGCAGGTCTCCTCTGATGACATTCAGGATGAGTGTGTACAGAAGAAGAAATGGTGTTTACTCTCTAGGGAACTGGAAATACTCCTTGTATTGATGTAATGTTAAGAATGGCACTTTTGATAACTTATTATCAGAAAGGTGCTTGCTAGAGCTGAATTAAAGATTTTCAAACTGTAAACAAAACAACGCAAAAAAAGCCAATTGTAGTCATTTGATTTTTTTTCTTTTTAAATTGGTGCTTTCTATTTTGTTCTCACTCAAACAGTAAAAGATGAACTTTCTCCTTCACCAGCTTTGATGTATTCATTACTCAGTAATGCAGCACCTCGATTGTGGAATTCCCTTTGGAAAGAAGCGGGAAAACTTCCTAACAGTCACCCAAAGTTGTTGCTTGCTTTTTGTTTGTTTGTTTGTTTGTTTGGTGGAGAAACATGATCTGCACCTATTCATATTAAGTGGGATGTATCCCCAGTTTATAAAGAGAGAGAGAGAAAGAAAGAAAGGGATTGTAGCCTTCTTGTGTTTTTCTTTTCTTTTTTGTTGTTTGTAATTATCAGACCCAGGTAAGATATTGGTACCCTGCACTGGACTTTGAAGTCAAATTTAGCAGAAGACAGGATTGAAGTATTATACAACACATTTCATAAAGGTCCATGCTACACAATGTAGATATTTATACACAGTGATACTTAGGCTGGGGATCGATTTTAGAAACTTGGACTTTGAAAGCAACTCAGAACAATTGATCCACCTCCACATTCAAATAATTTATGAATATGCAGAATAGGGATCTATTCATCTAGGCATTTTTTTTAACCATTTGTCTTCTGTGTAGCTGCAAGAAACACTAATGTTTATATATCTGTCAGTGCACCCAGCGGTGCAGCTAATGCCGATTCAGTCTTCCGATTGCTTTTTGTTTGTTTTACACTTCTTCCTATCTCTTGACTTACAAAAGAATTTTTTTGTCGTTCTTAATTTTTATTTTGTTGAGGGGTTGGGGGGAGTGGGGAGGGAATAGAACAGGGACTTGGGGAATGAAGAGAATGTTCGTCTTTGCATCCAACAGGCAGAATATGATCTGTGTCCAAAACTAAACTTGAGTCAGGAATGAAACCATTTCAGCATAAACAAGCACAAAAATTTAGTCTGCTGGCTGACTGGAAGAAAAAAAATCAAGATGGAATATGATGAATTCCAACACAATGGGGCACCAAGGCCACAAGGCCTATCTTCTTTATTTTGCTTTGGTTTTGTTGGTTTTCATTTAGAGACATGCTCTTTCTAATGGGACTAGAAGTGGATTCATCTATGTGCAGTGCTGGTTTTGCCATACTCATTTCAAGTATTATAGACATATGTAATGGTGAAAATATATGAACTGTGGCCTTTTTCATTCTTGTTACTTGTGATGCAATTAAGTGAAGATAAGAAAAAAAAAAAAGCAGAGATTTACCATGTATCAGTGCCTGGCTTTTTGTTATAAAGCTTTGTTTGTCTAGTGCTCTTTTTGCTATAAAAATAGACTGTAGTACACCCTAGTAGGAAAAAAAAACTAAATTTAAAAATAAAAAATATATTTGGCTTATTTTTCGCAGGAGCAATCCTTTTATACCATGAATATTACAAAAAAATTGTCAGATTCTGAATATTTCTTCTTTGTAGATTTTTGGAATCATTATGAGTAAAGTTTGTTACTTTATTTTACTATTTAAAAGATGTTATTTTACCATGTGTTACCAAGATGAAACTGTATGGTAGCTTTTTTTTGTTTTTTGTTTTTGTTTTTGTTTTTTTAGTTGTAGGTCGCAGCGGGAAATTTCTTCCGACTGTACACATAGCTGCAGCATTAAAAACTAAAAAAAAAAAAAGTTAAAAAAGAAAAAAAAAGGGAAAACATTTCAAAAAAAAAAGATAAACAGTTACACCTTGTTTTCAATGTGTGGCTGAGTGCCTCGATTTTTTCCATGTTTTTGGTGTATTTCTGATTTGTAGAAGTGTCCAAACAGGTTATGTGCTGGAGTTCCTTCGAGACAAAAACAAACCCAGCTTGGTCTAGGCCATTACCTGTTTCTCATCTGTAGTTATTCGATGAAGTCATGTACATGACCGTTCTGTAGCAATAAATGTGCCATTTTTATAAACTGTTTCTGACACTTGTTTCATTTCATTTTACATGGTCTACATAGAGCTGGGTTTTCTTCTAAAAGACTGCATCACTAGTTCATTTTCCAAGTGTTGGAATTATTGACAACAAACAAAACATTATCACAAAAAAAAGAAAATCACAAAACAAATTGGAGGGCAAAGCTCATGGTTAATCAAGGAAGAAATGCTCTTAATGAAAGTGGAATGGTATGCATGCAAAACAAAAAGAAAACTGTCCATAGAGGATTAACAAATCAAAGGAATACAGTTCATGTGTGCGCAACCTGAGCCATGACATTTGAAGAGCTGTGAGCTGTGCCAGTGTGTTGGTTGTGCTACAGGTTACAGAGGCCTGTCGTCAGCCATGATCTCTTGGATCAGTTGGTTGGCGGTTGGACAGAACATTCTCAGCTAGATCTTTTCAATAAAAACCCTAAAATCATTTATTTTGTATCACTGTTAAAAGCTGAATACTGTTAACTACAATAATATTACACTGTATTTATATTTCCTAAAAACTACCCTTAATTCCTCACTCCCTCCCCCAACTTCTGGTTGACTGTTAGCTCTTAGATCCAGATGTAAACAACCAGTGGCTTGGGTTTGATTTTGCTTTTCTTTTTGTCTTGTACAAGCATATGTCACCTCCAGGAGGGGGAATAATGTACAAATTAAAATTACTCAGTGTTATGTACTGTAAGTTACTATTTTTATAGAATGGACACTGATCTACTTCCTAAAACTTGGAGGCTGTTTCAACATTGCACTGTAAAATATAAAATGATGTCTGCAATGTAAAAGAAAGCCTATGGTAGATGAGAAAAGAATGTTCTTAATGGGGTGTGTGGTATTTTGGGATGTCTCCGGTATTGTTCTCGTATTCTTTCTAAAAGGAGTTAGTGACCTGAAGAAAAAAAGTGTTATAATGTCATTTGGTTCATCACCATAGTCAAATTTGGGGAGTTTGGGTTTTTTTTTTATTTTTTGGTTTGGATTGTTTTGCAGATACTTAAATTTTATGAATTTTCCAAAGATTTTGATTGAAAACCCCTTTTACCTTCTAAATGATTTGACATGTTCTTATGTTCTTATTGTGTGTTTTAAATATATACAGAAGAGCCACAAGCACTTAGTCTTTTAGTTATTATATTTGATCCTACACCTACTACTGAAAGGGGAAATGAGCTTGGGTAACTTTTAATGTTTCATATAATCTATTAATGTGTTTTATTTTAAAGGACCACGTGACAAGTTAAAGTACATGAATTCTGGCTTTATTTCATTCTCAGGGATAAATTTGACTTTCTGGAGAAATTAAAATATTAGCCAAAAGTTTACAAGGTCCAAATCTTAGATATGAAGAAGGAAGAGAGTAACCACAGAAGTTGAAGTTAGAGACTCATGTAATCTCATGATCTGATCCATTCTCTTAAAACCAAGTGAAATTTATGCTCTAGCACTTGATTGTAGGTTACTTTTCACTTGACTGCCAACCTAGGAAACCTCCTGTATAATTCTCTTGAAGGGAGAGCTTGAAAGCAAGATGTAAGCAGGGTGCTTAGGTTGGAACCAGCCCAAGGTCCCTCCCTTACATTGCATGTAAGGGATGTGTTGGCTTTTCTGGCCAGAAGAGCTCATTCTGTTAAGCATGCTTCTCCTTCTGGCCAGCTTTAGATCCACATTCTCACAGATAGAAAGAAGCATGGCCAGTTTTGAGAGGCCTAGGAGAGTAAGTGGAGCCAGTCACCTACGTATTTCTGAGAGACCATTTAAAATGAGTATTGAAGAACAACACAATTAAGTGTTCAAAAAAAGCAGATTACATGTCACTACCCAGTGGCTTGTATGCACTGGTACAGCTGTAGGGAACTGCCAGGTACCATAGAGGGGACAGGTTAATTCAGATTACCTGCCTCTGTACAGATATTTGAAGTACTACTGAATCTATACCCAAATAGAACAAGTATCCATAAATTAGGCATTGTACTGTGGAAAAAACATCTCTGTCAAACTTATGTTTGAATTGTGGATGCTTTGTCAATAAAGTCACACTAGAGGGGAAAAAACCCACATGTATACATGTTAGCACATTCAGCTTTTTAAAATGGATTTGTGTTTCTAGGGTCTACACCCTTGTTCAGGGCCCTCTGTTAAGAATGTAAAGTAACCAATGCTTAAAAAAGGGGTTGAGCCAATGCCATTGAGGTGGCTGAGCCTCAGCAGAACTGGTCTGATGTCTGGCTTTTCTGGGTAAAAGAAAGACCCTTTGTGTAACACAGAAAATAATACAGTCTCCATTCACATCTGTTACACTATATTTAGAAGTCAAATAGCTTTGGTGTTGGCAGGAACATTCTAGGAGGAAACAGAAACGTGCCAAGTGCAGAGGCAAAGTGCTCAGCAGAATCAAGCCAGGAGGCTTGAGGTTTCCGACCATAAGCAGCCCCTGGGTGAAAAACACTTGTTCTTGGGGGGGGGGGGGGTGGCGGGGAAGGGAGCAACTTTGAAGAAAAGACAGAACAATAGGAAATATTAGGAGATACACACACATACATGTTTTCTTTTGCCTGTCTTTGTGAGTGTGGATGAAGCCATCATAAACGTGAGAACGTGAAGGCGATGTGGCAAGCTCAGGTCTGTGGTTCTGGTACCAGGAGTGGGAGACTGGACATTGGGCTCCATGGCCACTCCTCTGCCTTCCAAAGGGCCAGTTGGGCTCCCCATTTAAACATGCTCCTCCCACTAGCTGCGTGCAGATGCAATCTCCTGTTCACTTTCTGCCCTTGCGGCTCCATTGTCATGGGTGTCTTTTTCAGCAGAGTTTCTTTGAATCCCTGCACTTCTGGTTTTCTACCTTATTCTACAGATGGCTGATAGAACTACTAGAGTGCTTAGCAAAGTCAGATTTTCATTCTGGCCCACCTTTTAGAAGAAAAAAATCACTCTTTGGGATTTTTTTTTTATTACAGAGCATTGTAAAGGTAATGCATAAAATTTCTAGGAATGCCTCACCCAGCTTCCACCAAAGGCAACAAGTCACATAGCCATGGTATATTTGCCAGTTAGAACATCAACACTGGTACTTTTATTTCCTCCTGTTTTCCTGTTGTAGGGCCACACTGCAACTAGGTAGTTCAAGTACAGTCTGGTTAGCAGGTTTGGTCTGTGTCTTTGCAAGCCATATCCACGCACTGCCAGACCAAATGTTCCAAAAATAGACTAGATGCTTACAAGTCCTCCCTTTCATTGTATTTCTCAAATGTCTATCCCTCTTTAATGAAGGATATTTTTTAGAGTAAAGAGATAATAAGCAGGAAAAGAAAGGGGAAGAAGCTCTGCTGAGTAAATGAATCAGCCACAATTTTATTCCTGGATTCTGATTAGGTCAAAGGCACTGTGGGCATTAAGAGACCCTTGCCTGTAGGATGGCTGGTGTGGGAAGGACAGACATGTCTAGATGACCAGCAATGATGGCCATGAGACAGGAGCAAACAATACTGGAGCACAGCTGTGAGGTAGATTCCAGGGAAGACAATACATTAGCAAAGCTGACTCCAGTGTAAGGCATACTCAGCAGGCAGGACAGATGATTGATTAAAAAAAAACACTCATATATTTCTGCAAAATTAAGACATAAGTTTATGGGAAGGCAATGGTAGCATAATTTTCACCATGATACATTTTTCACATTTTCATTATTTCCCCAAGCAACAATATCAGAAAGCCTTGCCTGGCCTCTTTAGCACTAATGGTGGCTTTCTGTTTCCTGGAACAGAAGTATCTTTGTGCTCCCACTTGGATCTGAAGGAGAATCTAAGCCAACAGGCACATTCTATAGCAAAAGACCCATGAGGTCCAGAGAACCCAACTCATGACTGAGCTCTTGACATTCTGCTCGCCCGGAACCCTGGGCAGCACACCAGTTGTAACAAACATGCTGGAGGCAACATGGCCTGTGGTAGCCACTGTGACCGCAGAAGGATTCATGTGGGAAGCCATGCAGGAGGTGAACAGCAGTAGGAAAAGGTTATGAGTCAATAGGACATAGAGAACATTCTGGATGATGGGAGGGATAAGCCTCTGAAATCTACAAAGCATCATGAACACAGGACACCTGGATGAAAAAAAATCCATTTCCCTCATGATTGTATATGCTTTTACCAATCACTGTTTCAAAAGGTATTCAAGTTCACACTGACAGCCATTACCAGCAGAAAGGGGAGTGAAGCTTTCTTTCCTAACCATGTCACAAGCATAAGATTATACAGGGTTATTGCCACCACATAGGTCATTAAGATACACACTTCTGAGCAAGATTCCTGACCCACCATTGTCCTCATCTGTGAAGTGGGATTCATAGTCCGAACACCAGGGAGTAAACTGGATGAGGTGGTGCTGGTCATTTCCAGTTGGCTCACGAAATGCCGGTGATTCAGTAGCACTTGGGTGACCTGTCTAACTTACAAGCCCCAATGATAGGATTGTAAACTTGGCCTCTATTCATAAATCTTGGCCACCTCTCCCATTCTTCCCTCATGCAGTAAAAATCACCCAGACTAATCTGTGCATCCTCCAGAAGTTGCTGACATTTCATGTTTTGCTCTTGCATGTAACAAAACTCCCACTTGCCCAATGTCAGGGGAAAAAAATCTAGAAACAAACATCCATGGTGTAAGGAGTTCAGACAGAGGCTTAATCTCTTTCAGGTTCAGTTTCCATGGATTATCCTGTTAAATCTAAGAACTCAATGTGACCCTTCCTACCTTAGACACCAAGCAAAACCCTAAGGGCTAGAGCCGTGCAAGTAGCCAGAAACAAAGCCAATCAGGCCAACCTTCGCCCAATGGATGTGTCAGCATGATGCTGACACTGTTGGTGGTGTCTGAAATTCAGAGGATGACGTCACTGGCTTGAGTTAAAACATGTCCTTCTTATTCAAAATATGGCTCCAGTTTTGGGATTGTAGGCTTGCCACCACCCTTGCTAATGAGTTCCT